TGTCTCTGGGACGGCCGGGGTTTATGCTTGCCCCTGGCTCTCTGCCTTCCGGGTCGCCCCGGCAGCGCCAGGGGTCGGGGTAGCAGCACCCCCTCAGCTCGGCAAGACCCCAGCTCAGAGACATCGGCAGAACTTTGAGGAAAGAAGGTTTCTGAGGAAAGCTACGGCTGCACTCATTGCTTAGGTTCTCATTATCTGCGTGTGCGTTTCCATCTCTGTGCCCCGCCTCGCGACCGCCTTGGGCGATGCCCAGGGGGGTCTCGGACATGATCTTGCTGAAGACGCGATGGCCCATGATCTCCTCCAGGGCGGCATCCAGCTTCAGCAGGAGGTCTGCATTCTGGTTGGAAAGCGGGCGCTCCAGGACAGTGACAGGGCCTTCTGTGGAAGCTGCTGACGCGCGCTTCCCCATGACTGTGCACACGCAGAAAAGTAGAGAGAAAGGTAGTCGTCTCGCTTGAGGCGTACGTCTCAGGAGCGCATACACAAAACCTCAAAACATGCAACAGACCGTTTAATGGCGACTCGAGACTGCCAGACTCACATGAAGTGTGTTGTAGCTACGTTGGTCACACACTGACTCACATGAAGCCGCACGGCTTCCGGCCTTCCAAGCGGTGGAGCCGCTGCGCCTGCACGGCTCAAGCAATACAAGTAACCGGGAAGCAATACAAGTTAGAAATGCAACTCCCGTCCTTTCTTTTTTAGGCCCTTCGCAGTGCTCGTCGCTTGTGCTCGTCAGCAGTGCTCGTCAGCTGTGCTTGTCAGCTGTGCTCGTCAGCTGTGCTCGTCTGCTCGGATTTCACATCGGCTTCTTCAAAGGCTCCTCTGGACAGGAGCTCCGTGAAGAGCTGCAGCTTGCACTCGTCCACCTTCGCTGAGAGAGCCTCCACATCACAGAGTCGCTCGTACAGAACTGCGACGGGCAGCTCCGTCAGGTTGTCCACGACGCCCTCCAAGAGCACCGCACGATGATCTGGCTGAGACCCTAGACTCAGTACACGCGCTTGCAGAGCGTCCACACCGTGCTGCTGCTTGTGCTTCCGGAGACGGTCACTGCAAACCTGTAGCTGCTGATGGCTTGCCTGGCCCGCCGCAACAAAGTCCAACATCCAGTGGTGCTCGCGGGGCAGGTTGGAGCCTGTAGCTCGACGCTGACTCTGCTGCAAAGACCTGTTCTGCTCACCCTTGGCACTGCGCTTGCACGCAGGTCGTTTCTTCACCGGCATGACTTCAGAGACACAGCATCGGCCAATCTAACTGCACGACTTGATTGAGCCTCGACGCCTAGTCATTGATGCCCACTGGTGCTTATGTTCGTTGGCGCTACGTGGAAGCAGCTCTCAGCATGCACCCTACAGCGTGTTGCCCTGATGGTAGCAGCCACAACTTACACCGTCGACCCTCCAGCCTGGCGGCTGCGAGGAGCCATAGTAGGACCTGCGACGCAGAGGGAAGTGCCAGGAACTGAAGCGACATGGTCCTCACCTGGTCCTCTTAACCTGCACTTGTTGGAAGCAGCTCTCAGCATTCTCTCTACAACATGCATATGTTCAAGAAGAACCGCGGACTCTCCAGCCTCCATGTTGTGAGGAGCGACAGCACGACCTGCCACACAGAGGGAGGTGCTTCTGCACTTGCTACAGCACGGTCTGCAGTCGGCTGCCCCACCCTCGGACCCACTGCATCCTTTCCCCATATCTTGCTTCAGAAGGCAGTCGTTCTCACTTAGCGACTGCACAACCCCTGCCACTTCGTGGCAAGTCACTGTGTCGGAACAGGGTCTCTCCCCAAAAGGCAATTCTTTCATCGGCCACACAAGCCGAACTGAGAGCATGCCACACGCGTCTTCGTGATGAACTCAAAGAAGGAGGCTTTCGTGAAGATGTTCTTCATGTCCATCTGCTGCACGGTCTGCGGGAGGGCGAGAGCCACCACCTGCTTTCCCTCGGCGCAAGTCTGCCTCGCGGCTCTCTCAGCAAACGCCTCCCAGGTGTCCAGAATTCTCCACTGGCTGTGGCTTTTTCCCATCGCAGTCACAATGATGTCCGCAACCCCCGGGTGATGTTGCACGAACTCCTCGCTCAGCAAGACGAGCCGTTTGGTTCGGATTGCAGCAGCATACGTGAAGGAGACGCCCGCAGCGCCCCCTGTCTGGAGGTAGTGCAAGTCCACAACGGAGCCGCCTTGCAAAGCCACGGTCCACTTGATTTTCTGTCCGGGCGTTGCGGCATCTGTCACCACGAAGACCTGGGCATCTTCCAGCCGTGCTTCGAAGTTCAGGCCTCGTGAACATGGCAGGCGTGCCCACTCCTGCCTCTCTAGGTAGATGCCGCGAGAAAGCTCCGGGCCCTCCGGCCGCATGATCTTGGACATCTGTGCCGCTCTTCTTCGATGCCCAGCACTGAGGGCTTCCTCATGAGAGGCCCATGCACGAGCGACCTCTTCGAGACCGGCGGGCACCTCTGACTCGAGCAGCGCATTGTCCAAGAAAGCGAGGACATCATTTCGGAAAGACTTGTCCTCCAGAAATCTCAGCTCCTTGAGCACCTGAAGGGCACAAGCACGGCATGCAGAGCACCCTTGAAGGACAGCAGGAGAGCTTAGAGAGCACCTGCTCACCCCCGAAATAGAAACCGTGCCTTGGGCTGCGCCACCACTGCCTCCTCTGTCAGCGACTCCGCCAAGCGCAGCGCAGAGTCCAGCTCCACTATGTTTGTCTCCGCAGCCCTCTTGCGCCGTTGCCTTACGAAGGCAATCTCGGTACCCTCCTGCCAAAAAAAAAGCTGCAGAGGTGCTCCCTCTCCTTTGGTGCAGAAAGTTGAAGCGAAGGCTACGTGCGACTTGAAACACCGCTGTCCACACGACGACCCCCCCCCCTCCCCGTAATCATTCTGGCACAAATGCTGATGCTCATGATGCTGGGCTGGGTGTTCACGGCCCGCCAACAGCCCTCCTAGCCCAGCGCAGCAGGTAGAAGAATCTGTTTGGGCCCCGCGCCGCTCCACTCGCCCGTCCCACCCCTTCCGCAGCCGACTGCGAAGTTATCTGAAGGATGACACACGCTATACTAGTGATGTTAATCTGATCTCGGCGCTTGGATCGCAATGCCGCTACCGTCGCCAGCAACAGCTAGGAAAGAGGCGGCTTTGCAACATGGGGGCACCTCTTTTCGGGGACTCTCTGCAGAGTGTTCTTAGACTGGGGACCAGATTTACCCTGTTCCCGGTCCTGTCCTGGGGCTTCTTGCGTGGCACACCAGCATCTATTCGGTCCTTCGCCGAGGCACGCGGAGGGCCAGATGTAAGCTTCCAGATTTCCGATGCCAGCTCGCAGACTGTTTCCTGACAGGTGTCCTTGTCACGAAAATCGGAAAGCAGCTTGGCCTCCGTGAACAGATGCGCATCCGTCAGATGGTTTCTGTCCGAGGGCACGTGATCCGCCATCTTGCTAAAAAACTGTTCCACGCCACTGGTCGTCGCGCCGGTCCAGGCCGCATATCTAGCCAAGACCACACGAAGTACGCCCGATGGATAGTTCTGGCGTACTTGTCTCTGCCTTGTAGCTGTACGCTGCACGGCGCGAGACCATGCGTCCACATTCGAGAGTCTGCCTTGGCGAGCTTCGTGCCTGGCTATGGGCTCGTGGATCTGGTACTCGTCCACAAAGGCGGCGACATCGAAGCCCAGCACTTGCGACAATCTCTCCGCGCCGTCGGTCAACTGACGCGCGTCCTCCGCCGCCTGCGCACGCGTGGCAGGGCCAACGTTGAACATGCGGAAGCATGCGAGCAGGCTGAAGGCCGGAAATTCGGCCTGGAGCGTCTTGATCGCTAGCCGAGTGTACAGCCGCAAAGGGTCCAAAGCGCGCTCCTTAGCCGCATCCGTCACCTTTTGCGGTCCTCCCAGAGACTTGGGACATCCCTGGACGCAGAACCCCCGTGGCTTCTGCAGGATGTCGACGACGTGCTGCGCGTATCCGCCTGCTTGAAAGGCATGCCCTTCCAGGAAGAGATGCTGGAGCTTGCTCGCAAAGACCTGGAGCTGGTACTGCATCTCCGCGGAATCATGCAGCTCGCTATCATAAAACCTCACAAGCTGGAGCGCTTCGTCTGAGCAGTCCGCGAGGAGCCCTATAGGATCAACAGCTTGTCCTCGTCAATCCAATCCAGAAAGCGCACGCCATGCTGGCAAGAGTCATGCCCCCTGTTACTCGAGAGAGACAGGGCGAGCAGCAAATGCGCCTCCAAAAAAAGAATGAAGCGGCCGAGCGGCTTCGCAGCACTGTCGAACCGGTGTTTCCTCATCGCGAGATTTTTTATCCGGCGAGCCGATGCCGGGCTCTCTGTCACGTCGTGACAGAGTCTCTCGAAGAGACGAGCTAGCGTGGGGCTAGCCTGCACAAGCCTCGCCATCGCGCCCTCGCCACTGATGGCCGTCTGAAAGCATTCGTGGATGGCGTCTATGGCAGACCACGGCCGACTGAGGATCCTTCGCGCACTGTGCGTGCTGTCTCGCAGCACTACCTTGACCGACGGCCAAAGCTTTCGCAGCGCACTGAGCGACAGTTGAACATCGGATGCCCCGTCCGCATTGATGGCTTCTATGCGCTGTGTGATACGCTGCAACTTCTCCACGTCGACTTCTCCATTGAAGGTACAGAAGCGACGCAGTGCACTTTGCACACCGTTGGCAACGTCTTGATGTCCCAGAGACTCTATCTGCTCGAAGCCCAGTAATCCCCGACGCACCATGACATCGTCATCGGCGGCCTGGAAGCGGATGCAGAGCCGCAGTTGCCGTGCATCCAGCTGGATCAATATGCTGGCAGCTTCCTGGAGTAAGCTGGAATCGATCTGCAGCATGGCTTCGCACACACATCGCATCATCTTCAGGACTTTCTTGGCACCTCCGATTCCTGGGCAGCCATGTCTGAGTGCCTCTCCTGGCTTTCGCCGTGCAACTTTGTCGAAATCACAGGGTGGCGGAGCGTCCCGGTAATCCTCGCCAGACTCCACAAGGCCAAGTTCTTCGAGACGTCGTCTGTGACCCTTGCTGCTGGCGTGGCGGGCAATGTTGTCAGTGCGGTGAGCATTCTCGAAGACAGTCTGGCAGAGGCTGCAAGTGGCTGTGCCATCGGGCAACAGCTTCAACCAGCTGGCTTCGGTGCCGGGTATGCAGAAGGGGTCGTGGTCAGTCATGGCAGCTCTGCGACTTGCCTAAGTCTGCTGTCTCCTATGTCGAAGCTTCGCATACACTGGCTGCTGCGTCTACAGCAATCAGTATCTAGACCTAGCAATTGCCTCTTGCTGCGGACCACTCATCGAAGCTTGGCGTACGATGGCTGCTGCATCTACGGCAGTCCGTAACTACACCTGCCAATTGCCTCTTGCTGCGGACCCAGGCTTGCGAATGTATCCATGCATTGCAGTGACGCACACACAACGAGGACAAGTCCTCCTTCAACGGCATCCACGGAATGCGTCCGTGATTGAATCCCATGTGTTTGCAACAAACCCCCTATCCCTCACTGCCCCGAAGATCTGGAAATGCTCTAGGCACACGAGATTGGGTTTGGATTTTGGAATGTTGGGGTTCTCACAGGCTGGGAAAGTGACTTGCACAACATGGCTGTGAATCTCAAGTGCTTGCGAGAAATCCCCTATCCTTCACTGCCCCTGAGACCTGGAAATGCGTTAGGCACCCGAGCTTGGGTTCGGATTTTGGGACGTTGGGCTTCCTACATGCTGGGAAAGTGACTTAGACAACATGGATATGTTACATCCTCCGGCAATTACCTGGACTTCTGTGCAAACCTTTGCAGACCATCATCAGGCCGGCCTCCCAGCAGCAGCAGCAGCGATAAGAAAGTCAAGGAGGCGAGGACCTCAGGTCTTGCATGACGTTGATGGCGTGGTCGTGTTGACAGAGCACACCCACGGGATAATGTCATGTTCAATACCGGCAGTTACATGGGCTGCTGCGCAAAGCTTTCCACTCATGTCACTCCGAACAGCGCTGTGACATCTGCAGAAGCATGGTGGAAGCACCTATGATCGCACCCATCATCAGGCCGGCCTCCCTGCAGCAGCATGAGCGACAAGAACGTCCAGGAGGCGAGGACCTCAGGTCGTGTATCGCGTAGAGGGCGTGGTCATGTCATTAAGCATGCAGACACATTTCTCTCAGCGCACTCGTAGGATGATGTCATGTTAGGTATCTCTGTTGCTTCTTTCTAGGGAGCTATCAAAGCAAAATCAACCGAGCTACCAGGGTTCAGAGACTGCCACTGTGACGAGCTGTTGTTGGTCCTCGGGCAACTACAGTAACCGCAACGGACACTGGCAGCCGAATGGCTTGGGCTGGCTTCGCACCGCCACGTGTGTATGCATGCGTGGAGGTGCGTGCACGATCCAGCAGAAACATGCGCAAGCAATCCTTTCAAGGCTCAGGCCCTGTCTTGCGCCAGCCAGCGTATCCTACATCAGAAAACAACGACTCGGTGACGCACTTAAGCTTATCCATGCCTCTGACACGCTGTCTCGAAAACAAGGCCCAGCGTCTCAC